GGGGCCAGCCCCGAGCTGCAGCATCTCTGAAGTGGCCCGGGGCCTGTGACTGGCGATTCTGAGGCGGCCCCAAGCCGCAGCCGCATGCCTCCGGGGCGACCTGTGGTCACGGTGCCTCGGGTCCAGCCCTGGATCACGTGGCCACAGCAGCGATCTCTCCAGCCTCCGGGACCGTGTGGCCACGGAAGTGGTGCCTTCCCTCAGGGCAGTCAGGACAGCGTGCCTGCAGCCATTGCTGCAAGGGAGCATGAAACCAGGTACGGTTCCCCCTCATCCCCAGAACCCTCCCCCCGGGGCGACCTGTGGTCACGGTGCCTCGGGTCCAGCCCTGGATCACGTGGCCACAGCAGCGATCTCTCCAGCCTCCGGGACCGTGTGGCCACGGAAGTGGTGCCTTCCCTCAGGGCAGTCAGGACAGCGTGCCTGCAGCCATTGCTGCAAGGGAGCATGAAACCAGGTACGGTTCCCCCTCATCCCCAGAACCCTCCCCCCACCTGCACCCCAGTCCCATCAGTTCCCTCCACCCCAAGACCCAGCACCTCAAGCTTGCTCTGACACCCTCCCTTGTTCTTGTACCCTCTCTCCTGGCCACACTGCTCCCACCATCTGGCCAGAAACCCTACTCCCTTGCCTGATTTACCAGACTTGTGAGAGACCAGGCATTATTTTTAATATTACCAGTGTATTGTAGAACACAGATCAGAAATGGAAGAAAAACATGCAAATGAATTCTCAGCTCTTCCTCTTCTCCCATTTCTCTCTCCTCCTTCCTACACATTTTGTACGGCCTTTTTAATACTAAGGTACTTTTACATAAATTTCATGTTTCTTGGAGTACAATGGATTTTCCAGTGTGTTAGCATGATGAAAGATACTCCTATCCTGTACTGATTCTTGTTGTGAAAGAAAACCTGTTTGTCATTCAGTCTTAATCTTTGATGCTCTCATTAGATTAGTGTGCTCTCATAGGTCTTGTCTCGTTTGGAAAACATAAACTGATATAGCTAAATCATAAAAATCCATCTGGTTTATATCATGCTTTAGGTTAATGCAGTAAATCACTTTACATGCAATTTAAAACCATTTTCCATTGTGTCCGTATTAGAACTTGCACTGGTGTAATAACATAGATGTTTGTTTTCATTTCATATTAGCACTAAGTATGTAAAATCCCATTTAATTGGTAAACTGGTTCAACATAATGGTTAACCGATTTAAAGGGGGAGCAGGTGGGAGTTGGGGGGCATTCTGGCATGGCTGAGCTGGAGCATTTCCTCTGCTTCCTCCTGGCTGCAGCCTGGGGCTACTCTGGACATGGAGAGCAGCCCCTGTCTGAAACACACCTGGGCCTGACATAGACAGTGGCTGCTGCCGCCAGGCTGAGTGTTCCCATCCACGAGTAGCCTCCTGTCCGCAGTGGGAGGGGAGTTACTGCTCCAGCCCCCACTGATTGAGGGTGATGGTTACTAGTTAGCCTTTCAGATCCCTAATCAGCACAAGATTTCTAACATAAACAAGGCCATAGTTAGAGCAGAGAACAAGAAGTCAGGAATTTCTGGGTTTTGTTCCAGGATGTGTCAGTGATTTCCTTTGTGGCCTTTGGCAAGTCATTTGGATTTATAGAGTTGCTGAGTACCACATCTTCTTTTGAAATAAGTTGAGATGCTCAGCATCCTGTTGAAAATATATGCTCAGTCTGAGTGCTTTAGTTTATGTATCTGTAAAATGAGAATATGTACTTACCTGCTTTGTGTGAGTTTAGTGTCTAGTGGTAAGGATTTCAGAGAGAAGTTTTCTATGTGAAATATTGTCTCTGTAGTATAAGGTAGGAAGAAAATATTATTGTACAGTAGAGATGTAATGGTGTAGTCAATTTAACTGATAACCAAAAGGTGTTAAGTTAATGCTATAGACTATACACATTCCCCCCCTCCTGCCAGTAAATTTTTAGCAGGCTGACCAGCAGCCTGTCTCAGTCCTAGCTCATGCCTGGTCTGGGACCTACCCCTGCTGTGGCTCTGCATTTAAAGTGTATTAGGAACTAGGTGGGCAGGCACCCCAGTTCAGTTCCAGCTTGTGCTGGGTCCACGAGCTCGGGTCCACCTTCCCTGGACATGGGCTGCTGCCACCCACGCTGCAGGCAGCTGCTCCCTTAACTGTTTTTTAAACTAGCTCCCCTAGTGGACCAGCTCCTCGCTTGCACCCTGCGCTGCTACCTCTTATATAGCAGCGTGGAGTGGTAGGGGACTCCTTGGGGGTGGAGCCGGAGCTCACAGGCTGCCAGCCGCACTCTTGGGGACTATAGAATAATCGAGTAACTGGTAAGAATTCATGAGATTAATCGACCATTCCATTAACCGATATTTAGCATCCCTAGTGTACTGATATTTAGGACACTGAGTAAATGGTATTCCCAGGGCTCCTCAGAAGATTTGTTTTGAAGCTGGTATTTAAAGAGTCCTTAGCTCATAAACCCTGTCCTCTGTGCCATGCTACTTCTTTAAATTTACTTTGAAACAGTTTTCTCTTGTTTCTTATTACAGATTTTGTTTCTCTGCAGTTTGTTGTAGCTGAAGAAAAATGATGGAAGAGAGTGGAATAGAGATGACTCCACCCAGCCCTCCTCCACCAAGTACAGCTGAGGCAATGGCTGCTGGTATCACCATTGCAGCCGCTGGTATCACCATTGCAGCCGCCGCCACCACCATACCTGCCTCTTTAGGTATAAAGTAAGGATGTTAAATTTAGATTAATTGTCTAATTGAATAGTTGATGCAATTTGCATTTACTGTTCCATTAGTCAATAAGGGCACCCTCCGCCTTTGAAATGTAGCAACAGCTCCAAGGCTCCCTACAGCATTTCAAAGTGGCAGCATCATATGGGGTCCGAGGTCAGCTGGAGTCTGAGTCCCCAGCTGACCATGGGCTCCATGCAGCACTGCTGCTTTGAAACACAGAGTGCAGCCCAGCCCAGCCTTGTTCAGGGGTGTTGCTTTCCAGGTAACCAATTACCCATTCACATCCCTAGTACTGACCCATCCTGTTGCTGACTAGCTTAATGTCTAATGGCATCACCATGGAATGTGAGGCATCACTTACAAGTAAACTGTCTCCAGAAAAGTAACTGGAGTTACTACACACAGCTAGGTTTTGAACTCAACTTATTTTTTTGGGAAAAGCTTTAGGTATTTTATATGGCTATTTTGTAAAGAATTTTAAAGCTAAGATAAGTTTTTGTTTATGAGTCTTTTTGTTTTGTTTTGTTTTTCCTCTTCTAGCTGTGTCCAGTCCTTTCCCTGCTCCAGACATATCCTCTTTCCAATCTTCTCCTCCTCATTCATTTTCCACACCTCTATCACACCCAATATCTTCACTTCCTCCTATGAAGTCATCAGTGCCTTTATCATTTGTGCCTTCAACTATTGCACCTCCTGTAACTCTTGCCCAACCTTCTGTAACCCCTCCAATTGCTTCAGCTTTTAGCGGCACTATGCCTCATTTATCAGCACCTCCTCCCGTAAGCTCTATTCCTGGCTCCAATTTTTCTGCATCTCCAACGGCACCCCCAATTTCAGGATTTTCCATGACTTCATCCTATGACATTACCAGAGGTCATGCTGGGCGAGCACCACAGACCCCGCTGATGCCATCATTTTCTGCACCTTCTGTCACAGGTAGTATTTTGATCTGTCTTGTAAGATGGAGCAGGTTCTTATTATTGACCGTATGTAACCTAAGAGTAGTAAGGTTTTAGCATTTTTCTATTCAACCTTCTTCCCTGTAGAGAAATGGTGTCTAGTTCTATCTAACTCATTCTGGAATGGGATTGGCTCTTTGAGAAGTAGTAGTCATGGTCTAGGACCGAAGTGTCACTTCAGGGAAACTATAGGAACAGCCAAGTTAAAGGGGAGAATGTAAGTAAAAATAAAAAATTACTCAGGCTAACCAGTCCAGCCATACTCCACTGTACATTATGTATGCACGTTCAGGGCAGGGTAAAAACTCCATTTGCTGTACAGTGATATTATTTGAACCCATACATTGTACGCTAATGCATTAGTTTCTAAACCTACTATTAATACATAGAGAGGTGGCTGGTCATGTGGTGCTTTCTTGTTTCCAGCCTCTCTTTTGTTTTAAGACTGCTAACAAAATATTGCTTTAGCAAATTAATTGTGATAAGATATATGAATGTTTGTATGTGACTTGTTTGGCTTATCAGGTGTCTTGACAAATCCTGTTAGTCAACAGACAACTTTCCCATCTTCTCTGGTACCTGGAACTGGAAGTGGCTCTGCAATAACTTTCCCAGAAGAGCATGAAGACCCCACAGTGGCTGCCATACAGAATGAAGGATCTGCTGGAGGCCTCTGGGGATTTATAAAAGTAATTTTTAAAAATCTTTTACCATTTCTGAAGAAAGTCTTTTAACAGACTAAAGTGGAGCATTGGATTTTCAGGTTTTTTTTTAGTGTGGCTCCTATGTAGGTGTATATGGGCTTCATGTTTGTGAGTTCAAAAGGCATTAAAGGCAAGAACGCTGCATCCCTCCCTTAGTTTTCTCTTACTGCCTGTAGCAATAAGATAGAGCCTGGCATTTGTCTGGTTCACTGGTTTGTAACTTAGGCTAAACTATCATCATCAGACTTGGCTGTAGGTCTTGCACCGCTGATTGAAAACACTAGAACCTGTCCTCTTGGGAGCCTGATAGTGGAAGTGGATTTGGACTAAAGTTCCTGGGAAGTTTATAGTCCGCAATGGTGTGAGACATTATTTTTAGTAGTTCAGCAAGAGGCTTACTTTAGAGAAGAGGGACAGAACATATTATACAGCTGTTGTGGTATTCTGATGAAATTCTTCTTGTCTTGACTTCTATTTGAATAGAAAATCTGAATCAACTTGCTGACCCAGGTTTGTTCCCAGTGTAATTTTTCAAGAATTAAGAAAAGGCCAGGAGGCTTGAGAATAAACTCAATATACAGTATTTATTTAATTATTTACTTGTCGTCTTTGTAGGGTGTAGCTGGGAATCCCATGGTAAAGTCGGTGCTTGATAAAACAAAACACTCAGTAGAGTCCATGATCACCACGCTGGATCCTGGCATGGCTCCATATATTAGTAAGTACTTAACACAGACTTCCATAGAGTAGTTAAATGTGAATCATATGTCACTGGTAAACTTAAAATTGATCTATATTCCTTAGAAGAACTTTCAGGTACAGTATGGTTTATAATGAAACTGATAATTTAAAAGCAGTAGTAGAGTGTGGTATACATCAAAGTTTGTACATAAGACAGATTATTTTCCATGTTGAGCCATGATTCAAGGTACCCAACACTGACATTTAGAGGTGAGGTAGTGATGGAGTCTTTATACTTGGAATGCCGCTATCATTCTATTCTCTATTTTGCAATCAACTTGTAACTTCCTCAGTTAAACTTGAGGTTGAAATCTCTCTAACTGGTCTTAAGTAGTGGGCCATAATTTCCAAAAATTGGCAGAAAGTTGTATTCTGCCATCTTTGGATTAAATGGATGTTTTGTCGGGATGGTCTTGTGATAAAGCACTGACTGATAGTCAGGGGATCTGGTCTCTGGTATCAGCTTTGCCACAAGCTTTGTGTGATCTTGAGCAAGTCACATAGCTACATTTACGCTATGAGCCAAGAATATGATTTTCCTACTTGTGTACACATGCTAGCTCTTATACTTACAACTGCTTGACAAATAGCGGTGTTGCTGTGGTAGCTTAGCTATGCTGAGTATATATCCACTGGTTTTGGGGTGGGATTTCTGCTTCGTCATATTACTGTACCTGCACAGTTATTTGTGTTTAGGATAGGATAGCTCAACAAGAGCTGGGGTGAGCATTTTTACACAAGCAGAGGAATCGCACCCCAGCTCATAGTGTGGATGTAGCTTTAATCTTCTGCTTGTATGTTATATCACTTTCTCCCACTATTTAGACTGTAAGCTCTTTAGTAAAGGAACTATCTCTATGTATTACAGTAGTGCCAAGAAATCCTACCTGAGATTGTTGCCCCATTGTGTTAGATGTGGCATCAACATACAGCAGGAAACAGTCCCTGCACTACAGAGTTCACAGTCTTAATAGACAAGATAGACAAATATGGGAGGGGAAACAGAGGCACAGGAGTGCGTAGAGTGGCTTGATGCAGGTTAGTGATAGAGCTAGAAATAGAACATAAGTCTACAATGTACTCTAGGTTATAGGCCAGTGTCTTGTCCATTGTACCACACTACTTATATCAGTGTTGGTTGGACTTTTAATCTATAGCTAACTGTCAGCATAATATGTTAGTTCAGAAAGATCTTACATGTCTCTAAAATTTGGAAGCTGCAGATTTCAAGGTGAGAAGTTATTTATGCACCTGCATCTGTCTTTTGTTTGGTTTTTTTAATGGTGCAGTTCTCTGCTGTGGCTGTCTGCATAGATGCATATGAAAATACAAAAACTGAGGAAAAGGAAAGGGGAGAGCTTAGAATTTTATTTAATAACTGAAAGTCTATGCCCACCCACTGGCATGGCATTTGGGTAAAGTAATTCACCTGCAGTCGTCTTCATTCAACTAATGAAATTGTTGCATGCAAATTAGCAGTAGAGCAGTGTATTAGCTGCAGGCTCATTTTGAGAGCTGCTTATGGGCCACTTAGGTTTGTTAACTCAATGACTCCGCAACCCGATCTTGTGGCTCTCCTTGGCTACAAACTAAATTTCCTGACTTGTGGTTAATACCTCAAATTAACATAGCTTTTTGCACCTCTATTTCTATATTGCAGCATCATACAGCATCTGAGTAAACACATTCTCATTACAGGAAAATACTAATGATCAGAAACACAGGGCTGAGACTTGCTCTTAACAGCTGTTTTTCCATTAATTTCAGACTGAAGTTAATGGCAAAACATCTGTTGAATTTAGTGAATATAATGTTGGGGATGGATCACTTTCCTTTCTATATAGTTACATTTCTGAGTGTGTCCTTGAATCCAGATAGCTTTGGTTTGGCAAGCTGCAATATCTAGCTCAGGAAAGTGTGTCCCATATATAAAATTTGATATGTAATGGTTTAGCATTATCACTAACCTCTTCTTGGAGGGTTTTATGCTGTCAGGGCATTTCACTAGGGCTCACTCCTGCATAAGTCTTACCTGGGTAGAATTCAATGTTTGTCACCATTCCAAAAAACCTTTGGTGTCTTCTGTTAAAAGGAACTGTTCCCTTTAATTGAGAGTTCCCAAATCAATATGGGCCAAGTTGAAAACTGTTGTTTTTCCAGTATTTTAAAATTCATGTTGATTGTGGTAAATGTTACTGTTAATGACATATAGGAGTAAGTACTGGAGACTTTGTCAGCAGGCTTTGGGGTACGGTGTTTCATGTCTGTAGCATCTGTTTGGGGTATTTTTTCCCCAAAAGCATTGCAGTGCAGCCATTTTTTTTAGTTTGCTTTAATATTCTGTTTGTTCTTGCAGTCAGAGTACTCTCAGAAATGGCATCTTAACAGACTAATAATTTTCTAGTCTTTGTGTCTGTACCAAGTATTGATACTTTGCAAAGGAAAATTAACATGCAACTAATCTATAGGTTGGATCTCTGTGGTCTGGCACCCATGAGACCTGATTGGTCTGGAACAAGGGAATTTGCCGGATCAGGGAAAATCCTGTGCCACTGGCCTCCGAGCTCTCTGCCGGCTTTGCTTCCTGCCTGGCTGTTTCCCTCCTCTTTCCCCCCCCACCTTCACCTGCCCTTGCCTTCATCTGGCTGTGCTGCCAGCTGTGCCCCAGGATTCCCAGCCATGCAGCTGCATCCTTCTGCCCCAGGTCTCTCAACTGCTCAGCCTCTGTCCCCTGCCACGGTCCTCCTGTTACCGGAGTTCCCCATGCCAACAGAGCTCTCTGCAAAAGTATGAATTGTTCACTATAAGAAGTTTTTAAAATTCTTTCCTTTAAGTTTATTTTCTTGATTAAAAATACAGCCCACATTTCACAGAAGTTAGCTGTCTAAGGAAAACATGAGATATAAAGATGCCTTAGAGCTGCAGACAGGCTGACATTGGTAAAAGGTCTATGTTGAAGCTCATGCTGCTAGTAGATACTTGTAAATAGACATTTCTTTTCAGCTTTTATGGTCTTATAAGTTGGGGTGGGGAACCTAAGGCCTGGGGCCAGATACTGTCCCTGGCTTGCCTGGATCTGGCCCCTGGGGCTCAGGACTTCCCTCCAGCAGTGGGGAGCCCACGCTGGCACTCCACCCCTTGCTGACTGATTGTGTGAGCGAGTGAGCCTCTGTCCCAAAAAATGGTTCTCCACCCCATTATAAGACACACAATGGTGGTGGTGTTCAGCGGCATTTGTGAAACAAGTTGAGGGTGTCAGTTGTGGGCAAGTTTCCACATCACCAAAACATATCAGAATTTGTACCGATGGCCTGGATTTTTTTTTAAAATGTGTTAACCAAAATTAGGCTTCTAAATCCACAGTCTGGCTTCTGTAAATTGTCTGATGTGATTGTACCTCTCAGCCCCCATTGACTTTCCTGAATTCAATGTTTACTTTAAAAATATCTCAATCTTAAAAGTTCACCAAAAGATTTCCTAAGTAAAGTTTACTTCATAAGAGATGGCTGGTAGGGACACAATTGCCTCTAACCAACTTCTCAGTACCCATTACAAGAAACTCAGCTTGACATGTACTGATGATAGTGTTGTCTACATTTACATGAGGAAGATACAGAAGGGACTACTCTGAGATGTGAGTTGTATTTTGAACTAGCTTCTATTAAAATATTTGTCTTTGTAGAATCTGGAGGAGAACTGGACATAGTGGTTACCTCCAATAAAGAAGTAAAAGTTGCTGCCATTCGAGATGCTTTCCAAGAGGTCTTTGGAATGGCCACAGTTACAGGAGAAGCTGGACTGTCTAACATTGCACCACAACCTGTGGGCTATGCAGCTGGATTAAAAGTAAGGGGTTAATGGCAATGTAGAAAGTTCTGTGCAAAGGATATCTCAAATATCAGTGATCTTGAGTGGAACAGTTTATCTGGAAGAATTCCATCCTCTGAGAAATACCTTTCTGCCTCCCCAGAAAAGTTAAATAGAGGAGCTTGTTTGTTCACTATTGTCTTTGTGTATAGATGTCATCCATGCCAAGTAATTCATCAGTATGTACTCTAAAGTGTTTGTGTCCCATTGCAAAAACAGCTGAAGAGCATAAATATTTTGCCAGTTTTCTGCATGACTGTCACTGACTGCAAGTGTACATAAGCATATTCTGTCAGATTGTAAAAGATCCAAAGTGTATCAGTTCTTGGGACCCCCTCTACTTGACAATATACTTTTAAAGAGGAGAGTCTCTTATGACATTACTATGTTGATAAAAATGTTAAACACAATTAGGTGATTAAACAGCCAGAACATAACACTATAAAGTGTAGCTGAGTAATAGAAATATTTACAGTCTTTAACTATGGTGAAACTTGCCATGTTACAAGTAAAGATGTCTTAAATTTCTTTCAGTATGAAGCTAGTTATTTTTTCATAGGAATTCTATAATTTAATTGGTAATGAGCTAACGCAAATTTGAATCTCTCAAGGTTTTATCACCATTCCTGTAACTTTTGGGATACTAAATGAAGCCTTTTTTGCTTCAAAATGTTAATTATTACACAACACCAAAGGATTTTTGAACAATATATGTGGTAATCTTAATGGTAAAAATTACGTTCTTCCATGAGCTTTATGCTGTAACCCAGAGAGAATATTGTTTAACAACTTATATTGCCTTTTAGGGAGCTCAGGAAAGAATAGACAGCTTGCGTCGTACTGGAGTGATACATGAGAAACAACCGGCTGTATCTGTAGAAAATTTCATCGCAGAATTGCTTCCTGACAAGTGAGAGGATTAAATATATTCCTTAGAAGAAAAATCATTTTATATTGAGTCCAAGTGCCCCATAGTTGTTAAGAGTATTCTACTTGGGAGATTAAAGGAGAGAATCTGTCAGTGTATGTTATTGCCTTGGCAGGCTTTGCTTTGATGAAATTATTTGGCAGCTTGTCCAAAAAATCTTGAGAATTTAATAGCTAAATACTGTCAGGTTTATGAGACTCAGAATTGAAAAACATGCCACTTAAATCTACAGAAGTGAGAGACTTGTGCTAAAGTAAGAGTTGAAATTGGCTTTTAGTTCTCTTCTGGAATGACAACTGATTTGGAGAGTATACTGGGTAGGTACTGACACTAGTAATGTTATGCTGAGGTAGTACCTTCATCTAATAACATATAGTATTCTCAGGTCTGATCAGTTTTCCTTTTTCTGCTCACACAAAATATATGTCCTACCACTGCTTTCCACAATTGGGACAGACTTGTGTTTTGGAGTTCACATGAATTGTTTTCTAAACAAACTATTTTCATAAGAAAAGATGGCTCTATCATGCAAACTTTGAGATACCAATTTGAGACATATTAGGATCCATTTCTTGTTGGCCTTTGATAATTTATTTGGAAAATACTTTTAAAAAAACAAACAAATCCTTGGTGATGTGCTAGGCTTTGATTTGTTTATTTTTGGAACCTACACCACTCCATTCAGTTACACTTTTCAAAGTGATCTTAGGTAGAAGATGGAGCTTGGCTTTTAAAAGTAAAGAGAAAATTAAGTGCATTAATCTCTGTGTACCTAAATCAAACTAGATAGAAAAATGCTTTCTTACAGAAAATGTCTCCATGAAGGAATGACAACAAATCTACACCAAAAGAGTGTCTTCTTTCTTGTTGTTTTTACTTGTTCCTAATTTTTGTAGGTGTGGTTTATGATGCTCCAAGGGGAGTTGCTAGTCCAGCACTGCCGTGTCATTGATTTGAATGGCAGCAGAATTTCCACACTTATAGGTCCAATTAATTGGACACTTACAAGTCCAATGTTTTTGGTATATGATTAAAATAAGAACATAAGAATGGCCATCCTGGGTCAAATCAATGGTCCATCTAGACCAGTATCCTGTCTGTTGATAGAGGCCAATACCAGATGCCCTAGAGAAAGGGAACACAATAGGTAATTCTTATGTGATCCCTCCCTGTCACCCATTTCCAGACAAACAAAAGTGGGTGCACCATTCTTACCCATCCTGGCTAATAGCCATTGTAGAACCTAACCTCTGTGAATCTATCTAGCTGTCTTTTGAACCCTATTAAAGTCCTAGCCTTCATCTTATCCTCTGGCAAGAAGTTCCAGAGATTGGTTGTGTGCAGAGTGAAGAAAAACTTCCTTTTGTTTGTTTTAAACCTGCTGCCTATTAATTTATTTTGGTGACCCCTAGCTCTTGTACTGCGGGAATAAGTAAATAACTTTTCCTTATTCACTTTTTCCACACCAGTCATGATTTTACAGACCTCTATCATATCCCCCCCTTAGTCTCCTCTTTTCTAAGCTGAAAAGTCCAAGTCTTTTTAATATCGCTTCATATGGGACCCGTCCCAAACCCCTCGTTATTTTTGTTGCCCTCTTCTGAACCTTTTCCAATGCCAATATATCTTTTTTAGATGAGGCGACCACATGTGTATGGAGTATTCAAGATGTGGGCATACCATGGTTTTATATAGAGGCAATACGATATTTTCAGTCATCTTCTCTATACCTTTTTTTAATGGTTCCTAACATTCTATTTGCTTTTTTGACTGCTGCTGCACGTTGAGTGGATATTTTCAGAGAACTACCCACAATGACTGACTCCCAGCTCCCTCTCTTGAGTAGTTATAGCCAAATTAGTCACCATCATGTTGTGTGTATATATAGTTGTGATTATTTTTTCCAATGTGCATTACTTTATATTTATCAGCATTAAATTTTATTTGCCATTTTGTTGCCCAATCACTTAGTTTGGTGAGATCTTTTTGAAGCTCTTTACAGTCTGCTTTGGTCTTAACTATCTTGAGCAGTTTGGTATCATCTGCCAATTTTGCCACCTCACTTTTTACCCCTTTCTCCAGTTCATTTATAAATAAGTTGAATAGGATTGGTCCTAGGTCAGACTCTTGGGGGACCCCACTAGTACCTCTCTCCTCTCTGAAAACTTATAATTTATTCCTACCCTTTTTTTCCTATTTTTTAACCAGTTATCAATCCATGAAAGGACCTTCCCTTTTATCCCATGATACTTAAGATCCTTTGGTGAGAGACCTTGTCAAAGGCTTTCTGAAAATCTAAGTATACTATATCCCCCTTGCCCATATGCTTGTTGACTCCCTCAAAGAACTCTAGCAGATTAATAAGGCATGATTTCCCTTTATAGAGACCATGATGAAACTGGTACAACAGCTCCTGCTTTTGTTTCTGTGCTACTGATCTCCCAGATGGGGCTACTTAAATGTAATCAAATCATGGGAAGTAAATAAAATGGAGTTAGGGATGATACATCAGCCTTAATTTAGACAATTCATGTTATTGTTTTCTTCAGGTAGGAAAATATTAAATATATACAAGTCAGGCCAGGGAGATGTCCCAACTTCTGTTCCAGAATATTCTACTGGAGCATATAGTGTCTTTTCAGAAAGAGGTTTAATTGCTCTTTTGACTTCCATACAGTAATTTTACTTAGGTATATGAATAACATCTTCAAATGTAAAGGGATGTGCCATTGTCTCTACAGAAGTTAGGTTCTTTTTGTGGGCTTGAGTGAATGCATAATTCTTGTTGTTGGAGAATGATGCCTTGACAAAACATTAGTTTTCCAAAAATTGTGTAAAAACAGTAATAGGATAAATCTATTATAAGGATATAAATATCTCATTGGTGCTCTTATTTGTCTTTGAATTGTAAGTTTCATGCTTATATGATAGATCATGTCTTTTTTTTACTTCTATTTGTAAAATATCTAAATTCCTCCATGAAATTCATTGCAAATAACTCAGTTTCATAGTTATAGTGCCTCTCAGTGTCTTGTAAGCTAACCTTGCCAGACCTGTATCATTTCCAGAATACCATTATTCAACCAGTTGAAGTTCTTTACTCTGTAAAACTTCAGGTGACTTATGTGCTATTGCAGGTGGTTTGACATAGGATGCCTGATTGTTGAAGATCCTGTCCATGGGATTCATCTAGAAACTTTTACCCAAGCAACTCCAGTGCCTCTGGAATACATTCAACAGGTGGAGTTTTGTATCTCTTTTGGGGATGTTGAGTGGGTAATTGACTAGTCGCTTCCCCCTCCCCTCCCCCTTTGCTGCCTCTATCAGAAAGAGGCAGCAAGGGAGAACGTGACCCAAAGTAATTTTAATGAAATTGGTATGGTTTGGTGAGTTATGTAGCGGCATAAGCACTCCCCGTCACTGGGGTGACCACCTTCCGGGGTGCAGACACCGGTTGGCCACCACTATAATCTGGAACCCTTCACCAGTCTCTGGGTAACCCCGAGTCCATAAGTGGCCTGGCTTGCCAGGCAGCGTGGCCCAATGGCCAGAGTCAGTATATATACTTCAGTTCAGGGCAGTATGGCTTACTAGCCAGAGTCAGAAAATGGTAGTCCTCAGTTCAGTATAGTATATCTTACTTGTTAGAGTCAATAAATAGCCCTCAGCCCAGGGCAGTATGGCCTGTCAGCCAGTGTTAGTAAAGGGTAGTCCTTAGTTCGGGGCAGTATGGCCTACTGGCCAGCATCAATACGGTTGGGGCTAACACCTAGTAAACCAGGGTCCTGTGAGTAGCAGCACCGTCTGCCACTTCCTCAGCTGGGAATCCAGTTGAAACATGCCGAGGACACCTGAATGTCAGAGGCCTCTCCTGCACCCTTCCTGGGTTACTTTCTACCACTTTGTTTGGATCAATGTCCCACGTGGTACCTGGGTCTTCTGGTTCTCCGGCAGCAGCTTCTCCCTGGGGTTCTGCTGGGTTTGTATTGTGGCTGTCTCCCAGGTCTCTGGTTCTTGCTGCTGGGGTGACGGGCAGAGGTAGTTCAGGAGGTCTTTCTTCACTGGTCAGCCCAGACTGAGCTGCTCTACTGCCTTTTATACTGTGCCAGCACTTCAAGCATGCCCAGTCTGGGTGAAGGAGCAGGACTTCCTCCACCAACAGAGTCTTAGCTTCCCCTCCCTCTCCCCCCTCCGCTTCAGTATGGGGTAAGCACTCTCCGTCACAAGTTGATGTAGAGTTCTGGTATTGATTCCCTTTAATGTTGGGTAAATCACTTTGACTCTGTCTCCCTTTCCACATTGATATGAGATACTTTTTTTGAAGGGTGTTGTACGGATTATAATATTTTTAAAGCCCATTGAAGATGAAAATTATTAAATATATAAGTAACTTTATTGATCACATCTGTTTGGCAGCTTTTTTAAAATGTAACTTTCTGGTAATGACAAGGTGATTTAAGTCATTCTGTAGTTATGCTCCGGGAATGTCTAATGGTTGTCTAGGAATGTAATATGAAGAACTCTCAAACTGGATGTGCAGAGCTATTGTGGGATACACTTTTAGGGTTTGATTCTGAAACTTTCTGTGTATTCTTTTTCAGAAAGTGCTATTAAAATTGAGAATACTGACCAAATAAAGTATTAATATAGGGGTTTACAGGTATTAGAATCTGACCCTTTATCTCATTCATTTAATAACATCTCAAATTATTACACAGGCTCAGAGTCTTACTCCCCAGGACTACAATTTAAGATGGTCGGGTCTTTTGGTGACAGTTGGTGAAGTGCTGGAGAAGAATTTACGGAATATCAATAGGACTGATTGGCATGTGGCATTCACTGGTATGTCCCGTCGACAAATGATCTACAGTGCAGCCAAAGCCTCATTCATTTAATAACATCTCAAATTATTACACAGGCTCAGAGTCTTACTCCCCAGGACTACAATTTAAGATGGTCGGGTCTTTTGGTGACAGTTGGTGAAGTGCTGGAGAAGAATTTACGGAATATCAATAGGACTGATTGGCATGTGGCATTCACTGGTATGTCCCGTCGACAAATGATCTACAGTGCAGCCAAAGCT